GCGATGTCATCCGTTGTTGAATGTTCACGCGACGGGAATCTGCCGCTCTGTGTGTAGGATGGGCGAGCGCGCTGGATCACCATCATCTCCTACACCACCATTATCATCTCCTACACCACCATTATCATCTCCTACATCACAATCATCTGCTACATCACAATCATCTGCTACATCATCATCTCCTCCTACATCACCATCATCTCCTACATCACCATATCCATCATCACCTCCTACATCACCATATCCATCATCACCATCATCTCCTACATCACCATAATCACCATTTCCTACATCACCATCATCATCGTGGGTTTGATCCCGACCCCTAACGATACCTGCTGCTGTAGATGTGGAGTTTTCGTCTCTCTCATCATCACGGTGGCGAGATGTTAACTACCTCACCTGGTATACAGGAGGTCGTGGGTTCAATCCCAAGGCCAGCTGCTGTAGATTTGGAGTTTACGTGTCTCTCATCATCATCACGGTGGCTAGGAGATGTTGACTACCTCACTTGGTATACAGGAGGTCGTGGGTTCGTTCCCGACCCTGACGACGCCTGCTGCTGCTGCTGTAGATTTGGAGTCTGCGTCTCTCTCTCTCATCATCACGGTGGCTAGGAGATGTTGACTATCTCGCCTGGTATACAGGAGGTCGTGGGTTCAATCCTGAGGCCTGCTGCTGTAGATGTGGAGTTTTCGTCTCTCTCATCATCACGGTGGCTAGATGTTGACTACGTCGCCTGGTATACAGGAGGTCGTGGGTTCAATCCTGAGGCCTGTTGCTGTTGATTTGGAGTCTGCGTCTCTCTCATCATCACGGTGGCTAGATGTTGACTACCTCGCCTGGTGTACAGGAGGTCTGTGTGTCTCTCTCATCATCATCACGGTGGCTAGATGTTGACTACCTCGCCTGCTGTACAGGAGGTCTGTGTCTCTCTCATCATCACAGTGGCTAAAAAATGTTGACTACCTCGTCTGGTACACATGAGGTCGTGGGTTCAATCCTGAGACCTGCTGCTGTAGATGTGGAGTTGTCTCTCTCATCGTCACAGTGGCTAGATGTTGACTACCTCACCTGGTATACAGGAGGTCGTGGGTTCAATCCCGACGCCTGCTGCTGTAGATGTGGAGTTTACGTGTCTCTCATCATCATCAACACGGCGGCTAGGAGATGTTAACTACCCTACCCGGTATACAGGAGGTTGTGGGTTCAATCGTGAGGCCTGCTGCTGTAGATGTGGAGTTGTCTCTCTCATCATCACAGTGGCTATGAGATGTTGACTACCTCGCCAGGTCTACAGGATGTCTGTGTCTCTCTCATCATCACGTTGGCTGTGAGATGTTGACTACCTCGCCTGGTGTACAGGAGGTCGTAGGTTCGATCCCAAGGCCTGCTGCTGTAGATGTGGAGTTAACCTGTCTTATGTCTCTCTCTCTCTGTGGTCGCGTGGATTTTGATCCGGGCCCTTCGGTTCTTCGTTCCACATTTAGAAACGCGCGCTCAGAGAGTATAGGGCCGCTGCTATAAAATGTCCACGTGATGATGATGACAAGCCACTTCGTTCAGCTATCACTTGTGATAGCCCAGCTCGCTTCTGGAAAATAGCTACGTAGCTAAGTGGCTTACCTGGGGAAATTATAAAAAAAATAGTTTAAAAGTCAACGCGACACTCCACGTGATTTTAGTCCACACATCGGCCAGGGCCGACTGAAATGCATCTCATGGAGAGTTTCATGGTTTTTATTGTCAGCGAGTCCACCCACTCACACACTCACTCATACACATACTCACCCACTCACTCACACACATACTCACACACGCACTCACCCACTCACTCACACACCCACTCACTCACACATCCACTCACTCACCCACTCACTCACACACACCCACTCACTCACCCACTCACTCACACACACTCACTCACACACTCACCCACTCACTCACACACACCCACTCACTCACCCACTCACTCACACACACTCACTCACACACTCACCCACGCACTCACTCACCCACTCACTCACCCACTCACCCACTCACCCACTCACTCATACACACACTCACCCACTCACTCATACACACACTCACCCACTCACTCATACACATACTCACACACACTCACCTACTCACTCATACACATACTCACCCACACTCACCCACTCACTCACTCATACTCACACTCACACACTCACTCACCCACTCACACCCACTCACCCACCCACACACCCACTCACCCACCCACACACCCACTCACACACCCATCCAATCATTAACTCACCCAGAGATAACCCCCGTAATAGCCTCAGCACACTGGTTGTAGCAAGTGCTGTGAGTAGCGAGTAGCAGCAGCAGCAGCGCCTATGAAGGCTACCGGCGCTTTGGCACACACAGAGGGGGTGGTTGGCCACCACCACGCCCGGCCGCCTTTGTCTCCCCAGTGGCGATGTTCACTACGCTACACACCGCTACACCAGCTACTCATTTGAAGCTGAGTCGACCTAGGGGAGGAGGCCCAGAACCGGTTTAGATAATCGTCACTGAACTCACCCAACCCACTTACTCACCAATACCACGAACGCGTGAAACTTCTTTCGCACACCGCGTGACCAACCCATGCCAGTCGGAAGTTGTCACTCACCCAATCAGCAATAGCCGCCATGAGCCACTTAGCAGCGGGGACATCACCCCGACGCCTGTGCCAGGCCAAGTGCACCTTGAGGCTCTCACGTGAAGTGCTGAAGGCTCTCTGGTGGCAGGAGGTCACGGGACAGACCCAGCAGGTGCCATGGGTCGACTGCTGTGCCAGGCTAGGTGCAGGAGGAGGTCACGGGACAGACCCAGCAGGTGCCATGGGTCGACTGCTGTGCCAGGCTAGGTGCAGGAGGAGGTCACGGGACAGACCCAGCAGGTGCCATGGGTCGACTGCTGTGCCAGGCTAGGTGCAGGAGGTCACGGGACAGACCCAGCAGGTGCCATGGGGTTGACTTGACTACGATGAGCTGGCAAATACACCACCTGTACCTCCTACCCACTCACCCACCTACCCACCCATCCACTCACCCCCTTCATGTGCTCACCCACCTGCTCACTCACCCACTCACTCACTCTGTAGAACAGGAGTAGAACACACAAACTCCACTCACTTTATAGAACAGGGGTAGAACACACAAACTCCACTAACTCACTCTGTAGAACAGGAGTAGAACACACAAACTCCACTCACTCACTCTACAACAGGAGTAGAACACACAAACTCCACTAACTCTCACTGTAGAACAGGAGTAGAACACACAAACTCGACTCTCACTGTAGAACAGGAGTAGAACACACAAACTCCACTCACTCACTCTACAACAGGAGTAGAACACACAAACTCCACTAACTCACTCTGTAGAACAGGAGTAGAACACACAAACTCCACTCACTCACTCTGTAGAACAGGAGTAGAACACACAAACTCCACTAACTCACTCTGTAGAACAGGAGTAGAACACACAAACTCCACTAACTCACTCTGTAGAACAGCAGTAGAACACACAAACTCCACTCACTCACTCTACAACAGGAGTAGAACACACAAACTCCACTAACTCACTCTGTAGAACAGGAGTAGAACACACAAACTCCACTAACTCACTCTGTAGAACAGCAGTAGAACACACAAACTCCACTCACTCACTCTACAACAGGAGTAGAACACACAAACTCCACTAACTCTCACTGTAGAACAGGAGTAGAACACACAAACTCGACTCTCACTGTAGAACAGGAGTAGAACACACAAACTCCACTCACTCACTCTACAACAGGAGTAGAACACACAAACTCCACTAACTCACTCTGTAGAACAGGAGTAGAACACACAAACTCCACTCACTCACTCTGTAGAACAGGAGTAGAACACACAAACTCCACTAACTCACTCTGTAGAACAGCAGTAGAACACACAAACTCCACTCACTCACTCTACAACAGGGCTAGAACACACAAACTCCACTAACTCACTCTGTAGAACAGGAGTAGAACACACAAACTCCACTCACTCACTCTACAACAGGAGTAGAACACACAAACTCCACTCACTCTGTAGAACAGGAGTAGAACACACAAACTCCACTCACTCTGTAGAACAGGGCTAGAACACACAAACTCCACTCACTCACTCACTGTAGAACAGGGCTAGAACACACAAACTCCACTCACTCTACAACAGGAGTAGAACACACAAACTCCACACAGAGAGAGGGGATCGAACCCAGGCCACTCCTCGCTGTGAGGCTCGGTTGAAGCGTCACCACCGCACTTGCCTCCCGCCTCCTCCTCCTCCTCCGCCTCCGCCGCCGCTGCCAACTTTGTGACCGAAACTAAAACGCCAACATGGCTGCGGCACTCATCCAGCAGCGGATTGAGCACGGCCGCTGCTGAGGACGATGGCGGCGACGGTGGTGACGGTGGTGGTGACAGTGGTGGTGACGGTGGTGACGGTGGTGGTGACGGTGGTGACGGTGGTGGTGACGGTGGTGACGGTGGTGGTGACGGCGGTGGTGACGGCGGTGACGGTGGTGACAGTGGTGATGGTGGTGGTGACGGTGGTGGTGACGGTGGTGATGGTGGTGGTGACAGTGGTGGTGACAGTGGTGACGGTGGTGGTGACGGCGGTGGTGACGGTGGTGGTGACGGTGGTGGTGACAGTGGTGGTGACAGTGGTGACAGTGGTGGTGACGGTGGTGGTGACGACGGTGGTGACGGTGGTGGTGATGGTGGTGACGGTGGTGACGGTGGTGGTGACAGTGGTGGTGACGGTGGTGGTGACGGCGGTGGTGATGGTGGTGGTGGTGACGGTGGTGGTGACGGTGGTGGTGACGGTGGTGACGGTGGTGACGGCGGTGGTGATGGTGGTGGTGACGGCGGTGACGGTGGTGGTGACGGCGGTGACGGTGGTGGTGACGGTGGTGACGGTGGTGGCAGTGGTGACGGTGGTGGTGACGGTGGTGGTGACGTCAGTGGTGACGGTGGTGGTGGTGACGGCGGTGACGGTGGTGACGGTGGTGGTGACGGTGGTGGTGACGTCAGTGGTGACGGTCAGTCCTCCACATCGAGTCCGTAGTTACTGTAGAGGTCGCGGGTTGTGATGCCACGAAGGACAGCTACACGGGTCACGACCACACGTGGCGGTGGGTGGTGGTGTGGGTGGTGGTGTAGGTGGTGGTGGTGTAGGTGGTGGTGGTGTAGGTGGTGGTGGTGTAGGTGGTGGTGGTGTAGGTGGTGGTGTGGGTGGTGGTGTAGGTGGTGGTGTAGGTGGTGGTGTGGGTGGTGTAGGTGGTGGTGTGGGTGGTGGTGTAGGTGGTGGTATAGTGGGTGGTGGTGGTGTAGGTGGTGGTGTGGGTGGTGGTGTAGGTGGTGGTGTAGGTGGTGGTGGTGGTGTAGGTGGTGGTGGTGGTGTAGGTGGTGGTGTAGGTGGTGGTGTGGGTGGTGGTGTAGGTGGTGGTGTAGGTGGTGGTGTGGGTGGTGTAGGTGGTGGTGTGGGTGGTGGTGTAGGTGGTGGTATAGTGAGTGGTGGTGGTGTAGGTGGTGGTGTGGGTGGTGGTGTAGGTGGTGGTGTAGGTGGTGGTGGTGGTGTAGGTGGTGGTGGTGGTGTAGGTGGTGGTGTAGGTGGTGGTGTGGGTGGTGGTTTAGGTGGTGGTGGTGTAGGTGGTGTAGGTGGTGGTGTAGGTGGTGGTGGTGGTGTAGGTGGTGGTGTAGGTGGTGGTGTAGGTGGTGGTGTGGGTGGTGGTGTAGGTGATGGTGGTGTAGGTGGTGTAGGTGGTGGTGTAGGTGGTGGTGGTGGTGTAGGTGGTGGTGTGGGTGGTGGTGTGGGTGGTGGTGTAGGTGATGGTGGTGTACGTGGTGGTGGTGTACGTGGTGGTGTACGTGGCGGTGTAGGTAGTGGTGTAGGTGGTGGTGGTGTAGGTGGTGGTGTACGTGGCCGTGTAGGTGGTGGTGGTGTGGGTGGTGGTGTACGTGGCGGTGGGTGGTGGTGTAGGTGGTGGTGTAGGTGGCGGTGTGGGTGGTGGTGTACGTGGTGGTGTACGTGGCGGTGTAGGTGGTGGTGTAGGTGGTGGTGGTGTAGGTGGTGGTGTAGGTGGTGGTGGTGTAGGTGGTGGTGGTGTGGGTGGTGGTGTACGTGGCGGTGGGTGGTGGTGTAGGTGGTGGTGTAGGTGGCGGTGTAGGTGGCGGTGTAGGTGGCGGTGTAGGTGGTGGTGTAGGTGGTGGAGTACGTGGCCGTGTAGGTGGTGGTGGTGTGGGTGGTGGTGTACGTGGCGGTGGGTGGTGGTGTAGGTGGTGGTGGTGTATGTGGTGGTGTAGGTAGTGGTGGTGTGGGTGGTGGTGGTGATGGTGTGGGTGGTGGTGTTGTAGGTGGTGGTGGTGTAGGTGGTGGTTGTGGTGTAGGTGGTGGTTGTGGTGTAGATGGTGGTGGTGGCGGTGTAGGTGGTGGTGTAGGTGGTGGTATAGTGGGTGGTGGTGGTGTAGGTGGTGGTGGTGTAGGTGGTGGTGGTGTAGGTGGTGGTGGTGTAGGTGGTGGTGGTGTAGGTGGTGGTGTAGTGGGTGGTGGTGGTGTACGTGGTGGTGGTGTAGGTGGTGGTGGTGTAGGTGGTGTAGGTAGTGGTGGTGTAGGTGGTGGTGTACGTGGCGGTGTAGGTGGTGGTGGTGTGGGTGGTGGTGGTGATGGTGTGGGTGGTGGTGGTGTTGTAGGTGGTGGTGGTGTAGGTGGTGGTTGTGGTGTAGGTGGTGGTGGTGGCGGTGTAGGTGGTGGTGTAGGTGGTGGTATAGTGGGTGGTGGTGGTGTACGTGGTGGTGGTGTAGGTGGTGTAGGTGGTGGTGGTGTAGGTGGTGGTGTAGTGGGTGGTGGTGGTGTAGGTGGTGGTGTAGGTGGTGTAGGTGTAGGTGGTGGCGGTGAAGGTGGTGGTGTAGTGGATGGTGGTGGTGTACGTGGTGGTGGTGTAGGTGGTGGTGGTGTAGGTGGTGGTGTAGGTGGAGCCAACGGGAGGGTCAGGATTAGGAGAGAGACAAAGGGAGAGAGAGGTGGACATGTGTGAATGAATGGCGGTGTCTGTGCGCAGTAAACATTGCCACTGGGGAGACAAAGGCGGCCGGGCGTGGTGCTGGCCACCCACCCCCTCGTGTACCGTTCCGGCCTTCATAGGTGCCGCTAACAGCACTTGCCCCTACAGTCTGTTAGGGCTACACAGGGAATATTCGTCTTTGGTGTGCGGTAGTGGTGGTACAGTGGTGTGGCATTCCTACTGTGGCAGTGGCACTGTGTAGTAGTGGTAGTGGTGGTGCAGTACAGTTGTAGCACCGCGTGCTACTAGCACTGGCAGTGCAGCATGGTAGTGCAGAGCAGTAGTGCAGTGTGTTATTGCAGTGTGGTAGTGCAGTGTTAGTTTCATAGTGTGTTACTGCAGTCTGGTAGTGCAGTGTGTTAGTGTAGTCTGTTAGTGCAGTGCGGTTGTGCAGTGTGTTAGTTTCACAGTGTGTTAGTGCAGTGTGTTCGTTTTTACAGTGTGGTAGTACAGTGTGTTAGTTTCACAGTGTTAGCTCAGTGCGGTTGTGCAGTGTGTTAGTGCAGTGTGTTAGTTTCACAGTGTGTTATTGCAGTGTGTTAGTGCAGTGTGTTAGTGCAGTGTGTTAGTTTCACAGTGTGTTATTGCAGTGTGGATGTGCAGTGTGTTAGTTTTGCAGTGTGTTATTGCAGTGTGGTAGTGCAGTGTGGTAGTGCAGTGTGTTAGTTTCACAGTGTGTTATTGCAGTGTGGTAGTGCAGTGTGGTAGTGCAGTGTGTTAGTTTCACAGTGTTAGTGCAGTGCGGTTGTGCAGTGTGTTAGTGCAGTGTGTTAGTTTCATAGTGTGTTATTGCAGTGTAGTAGTGCAGTGTGTTAGTGCAGCATGGTAGTGCAGAGCAGTAGTGCAGAGTGTTAGTGCAGTGTGTTAGTTTCAATGTGTTAGTGCACTGCGGATGTGCAGTGTGTTAGTGCAGTGTGTTAGTTTCAGTGTGTTAGTGCACTGCGGATGTGCAGTGTGTTAGTGCAGTGTGTTAGTTTCACAGTGTTAGCGCAGTGCGGGTGTGCAGTGTGTTAGTTTCAGTGTGTTCGTGCAGTGCGGTGGTGCAGTGTGTTAGTTTCACAGTGTGTTATTGCAGTGTGATATTGCAGTGTGTTAGTTTCACAGTGTGTTATTGCAGTGTGTTAGTGCAGTGTGTTAGTGCAGTGTGTTAGTTTCACAGTGTGTTAGTACAGTGTGGTAGTGCAGTGTGGTAGTGCAGTGTGTTAGTTTCACAGTGTGTTAGTGCAGTGCGGTGGTGCAGTGTTAGTGCAGTGTGTTAGTCTCACAGTGTGTTATTGCAGTGTGGTAGTGCAGTGTGTTAGTTTCACAGTGTGTCAGTGCAGTGCGGTGGTGCAGTGTGTTAGTTTCACAGTGTGTTATTGCAGTGTGTTAGTTTCACAGTGTGTTAGTTTCACAGTGTGTTATTGCAGTGCGATAGTGCAGTGTGTTAGTGCAGTGTGTTAGTTTCGCAGTGTGTTAGTTTCACAGTGTGTTATTGCAGTGTGGTAGTGCAGTGTGTTAGTGCAGTGTGTTAGTTTTGCAGTGTGTTAGTTTCACAGTGTGTTATTGCAGTGTGGTAGTGCAGTGTGTTAGTGCAGTGTGTTAGTTTCGCAGTGTGTTAGTTTCACAGTGTGTTATTGCAGTGTGGTAGTGCAGTGTGTTAGTGCAGTGCGGTGGTGCAGTGTGTTAATGCAGTGTTTTAGTTTCACAGTGTGTTATTGCAGTGTGGTAGTGCAGTGTGTTAGTGCAGTGTGTTAGTTTCGCAGTGTGTTAGTTTCACAGTGTGTTATTGCAGTGTGGTAGTGCAGTGTGTTAGTGCAGTGCGGTGGTGCAGTGTGTTAATGCAGTGTTTTAGTTTCACAGTGTGTTATTGCAGTGTGGTAGTGCAGTGTGTTAGTTTCACAGTGTGTCAGTGCAGTGCGGTGGTGCAGTGTGTTAGTGCAGTGTGTTAGTTTCACAGTGTGTTATTGCAGTGCGGTGGTGCAGTGTGTTAGTGGAGTGCGTTAGTTTCACAGTGTGTTAGTGCAGTGTGGTGGTGCAGTGTTAGTGCAGTGTGTTAGTTTCACAGTGTGTTAGTGCAGTGCGGTGGTGCAGTGTGTTAGTGCAGTGTAATAGTTTCACAGTGTGTTAGTGCAGTGCGGTGGTGCAGTGTGTTATTTCAGTGTGTTAGTGCAGTGTGTTAGTTTCACAGTGTGTTAGTTTCACAGTGTGTTAGTGGAGTGTGTTAGTTTCACAGTGTGGCAGTGCAGTGCGGTGGTGCAGTACAGTCGTAGCACCGCGTGCTACTAGCACTGGTAGTGCAGCATGGTAGTGCAGTGTTAGTGCAGTGTGTTAGTTTCACAGTGTGTTAGTGCAGTGCGGTGATGCAGAGCGGTAGTGCAGTGTTAGTGCAGTGTGTTAGTTTCACCGTGTGTTAGTGCAGTGCGGTGATGCAGCATGGTAGTGCAGCATGGTAGTGCAGTGTTACTGCAGTGTGTTAGTTTCACCGTGTGTTAGTGCAGTGTGTTAGTTTCACAGTGTGTAAGTGCAGTGCGGTGATGCAGAGCGGTAGTGCAGAGCGGTAGTGCAGTGTTAGTGCAGTGTGTCAGTTTCACCGTGTGTTAGTGCAGTGCGTTAGTTTCACAGTGTGTTAGTGCAGTGCGTTAGTGCAGTGCGGTAGTGCAGAGCGGTAGTGCAGTGTTAGTGCAGTGTGTTAGTGCAGTGTGTTAGTGCAGTGCGGTGATGCAGAGCGGTAGTGCAGAGCGGTAGTGCAGAGCGGTAGTGCAGTGCGGTAGTGCAGAGCGGTAGTGCAGAGCGGTAGTGCAGTGTTAGTGCAGTGTGCTAGTTTCACCGTGTGTTAGTGCAGTGCGGTGATGCAGCATGGTAGTGCAGTGTTACTGCAGTGTGTTAGTTTCACCGTGTGTTAGTGCAGTGTGTTAGTGCAGTGCGGTGATGCAGAGCGGTAGTGCAGAGCGATAGTGCAGTGTTAGTGCAGTGTGTCAGTTTCACCGTGTGTTAGTGCAGTGCGTTAGTTTCACAGTGTGTTAGTGCAGTGCGTTAGTGCAGTGCGGTAGTGCAGAGCGGTAGTGCAGTGTTAATGCAGTGTGTTAGTGCAGTGTGTTAGTGCAGTGCGGTGATGCAGAGCGGTAGTGCAGAGCGGTAGTGCAGTGCGGTAGTGCAGTGCGGTAGTGCAGAGCGGTAGTGCAGAGCGGTAGTGCACTGACCCAGCTGACCCAGCAGGCTCTGCGCCGCGTCCTTAAGCTCGTTGTAGTCGTGCAACTTGCGGATGTGGACATCCAACTCGTCTGGGCTGCAGCCTCTGTGCACCCCGCACACAACAACAACATATTCTTGGTGCTTTCGGTAAAGTCACCACGTAGAAGGGAAACAATAAAAATATAAAACAATTAGATTTTGTAAAACAATAACATTATTATTCTTGGTGCTTTCGGTAAAGTCACCACGTAGAAGGGAAACAATAAAATAACAATAAAAATATTAAACAATTAGATTTTGTAAAACAATAAAATTATTATTCTTGGTGCTTTCGGTAAAGTCACCACATAGAAGGGAAACAATAAAATAACAATAAAAATATAAAACAATTAGATTTTGTAAAACAATAAAATTATTATTCTTGGTGCTTTCGGTAAAGTCACCACCACGTAGAAGGGAAACAATAAAATAATAAAAATATAAAACAATTAGATTTTGTAAAACAATAAAATTATTATTCTTGGTGCTTTCGGTAAAGTCACCACGTAGAAGCGAAATAATAAAATAATAAAAATATTAAACAATAAAATTCTCACGACGTTTCGACTGCAACACAGGCAGCAATCATCATCAGGTGTGAAAACCACGGCGAGAAAGTTTGTAAAGAGTGGCGGTTTTTTTCAACGTTAAAATTATTGCTGTGGTTTTTCACACCTGATGATGATTGCCGCTTGTGTTGCAGTCGAAACGCCGTGAGAATTTTATTGTTTCATATTTTTTTAATTATTTTATTGTTTCCCTATCTACGTGGTGGTGACTTTACCGAAAGAACCAAGAATATGAATCCCTGCAGTCACGAAAGCCTTCAATCAAAACATCAACAACGTCAAAAACAACAATGTATTACTGTAAAACTAAAACTACTTAAGGACAACGCACCTACTTAGAAACTGACGCAAACTACAGCGATCCCTCGGTTTACGATGCCATCGATGAACAACATCTCGATTAACGATTCGCTCTCCCACCAGGGTCCACATTGTTTCTTACCGGCGATTAATTTTCGACTTAACGATTGATTTTTCCCATTTACGATTCGCCCCTCTCACAGGGGGGGGGGGGGTCCCACATTGTTTCCATTAACGCCGAATTTTCCATTAACGATCCGCCCCTCCCTATAGGGGCACCCACAATTGTATCTATTTGACCAGGGGCCATTTGGATATTGATAACATCATTCGCGGGCCATACAAAAATGATCAACTTAAAAATCAGCCCCTTTATATTTGGTCAAACATTTCATTAACGCACCCCTAATGCGATGGGCTGTAACTGCTTCTTACTCTTTTTGATTTGAAGCTTTCGTGACTGCAGTAATTCATATTCTTAGTTTTTTCGGTAAAGTCACATTGAAGAGAAACAACAAAATATATATAAAACAATAAAAAATTCTCACGACGTTTCGACCATAACTCAAACGTTTGAGTTATGGTCGAAACGTCGTTTTTTAAAATTCTCACGACGTTTCGACCATAACTCAAACGTTTGAGTTATGGTCGAAACGTCGTGAGAATTTTTTTATTGTTTTATATATATTTTGTTATTTTGTTGTTTCTCTTCAACGTGACTTTACCGAAAAAACTAAGAATATGCTTCTTACTCTTTGGTTCTATTGGGTAAAGTCACGTAGGTAAAAAAATAAAACAACAAATATCACGACGTTTCGGGCCACAACACAAGCGGCCTTCATCAGGTGAAGGGACCAGGCTGTCTCGAGGACAGCGCTGGAGTGAAAACACAGCCAAGCTCAGACCACGGCCTTTAAGCTAAAACATTAGCATTTGATTGGCGGACTTATCAATCAAATGCTCATTTTTACGCTAATTCCTTTGTCAAGGCACCTTAATCCCTCTCACACAGCTTAAAGGTCGTGGTCTGAGCTTGGCTGTGTTTCACTCCAGCGCAGTCTTCGAGACAGGCTGGTCCCTTCACCTGATGAAGGCCGCTTGTGTTGTGGCCCGAAACGTCGTGATTTTCGTTGTTTTATTTTTTTACCTACGTGGTGACTTTATCGAATAGAACCGAAGAGTGTGGATCCTTGCAGTCACGAAAGCTTCAAATCGAGAAAAGGAATGCAACTGCTTCTGTTTGGCGAGGCGTGGTGGTGATGTTGGCCGGCTATTGACGATGTCGCCGCTACTCGCGAACCGCTTTTCCAGGTTTTGCTCTCCTAGATTCGTTGAATTTCGAGTCCCGCCTGCGGTTGCCTTGGCAGGTCCAGAGACCCAAACGATTTCGCGGGGCCCTCATACCGCCCCGCGGGCCGGGCGTTCCCCACCCCTGTATCAGACGGTGAAAAACCTTTCGATGAACGATCACCAGCTTTGCAATGTTGCGCGGTTCCCGCCAATTTCGCGCCAATCGGAGCAGGCTGCTCGGTGGACTTCGGCAGGCCTCGGCCAGCTGGCCCGAGCTTTTGAATGTTTGACGCTGCGTTGAGCTCTTGAATAGCTCGCGTTGGCTTTGTGCTCTTGCTTTAAAATTTACATAGAAGGCCGACCGAAATTCGGTTGCAGTTTCGGCGCCGAAAGGTGGCAAATGGCCTCTTTCGGACGAAAGTTAAAAAAAAATTAATAAAATACTTTCGGTTTGGTTTCGTTTTCGGGCCGAAACCAGAAAATTCAGTTTCGGCCGGCCTCTAAAGTTAACAAAGATCTAATAAGGTTTTTCGCCTATCAAAGTAATGAGGGCTCGGGGTGAGCATCTACATCATCAGACCTCCTTTGCCAGTACCAAAATGTAATAATAATAGGGGTTTTTCCCCTTTTTTCTGGCAACAAAACTGAAACCTTTTTACGAGGATTCATGTCTACTGCTTTAACCACAATACCTGCAGTCAAAATACAAACAAAAAATACATACTATGATAATATATGTGGCATTGTCCTTGAAACTGATTTCGTTTGAGCCTCGACCCAATTGGTGCTCGACCAGATGACGCCAAAAGGCGTCACACAGCTCAAAGACAATGCCGCTATCAAAGTAATGAGGGCTCGGGGTGAGCATCTACATCATCAGACCTCCTTTGCCAGTACCAAAATGTAATAATAGGGTTTTTCCCCTTTGCCAGAAAAAAGGGGAAAAACCCTATTATTACATTTTGGTACTGGCAAAGGAGGTCTAGTGATGATTAACTAAGATCAATAACCCATGGCTCCTACAACGAATGTGAACAAAGACCAGCGAGTGTGCAAATTAAGCAGGACATTTTTTAAAAACACGAAATAACTAATTGAACCTTTTTTCGATAATTAGCGATAATCGAATGACAGGAAATGATCGATAAGCGAAAGACAGGAAATACTTGTTCAATTATAATTTCAATTGACGATGGTTTCAGTGGAGCAAATTAACGTCGTTCACCTGAGGGGGACCTTCTGTACTTTTATTTTAACCGGGGTAAAAGGCTTCACTGATCTGCTGTGTAGCTCTTTTTGTCAGAAGCGACCTTGCCATGACAAATGACAGCAGCTCAACCCAATGGCTTATCATCATCATCATCTAAAGCTTTCGTGACTGCAGGGATTCATATTCTTGGTTCTTTCGGTAAAGTCACGTAGAAGGGAAACAATAAAATAATAAAAATACAAAACAAAATTCTCACGACGTTTTGACTGCAACACAAGCAATCATCATCGGGTGTGAAAACCACAGCAAGAAAATTTGATGATGATTGCTTGTGTTGCAGTCAAAACGTCGTGAGAATTTTATTGTTTTATATTTTTATTATTTTATTGTTCCCTCTTTCTACGTGACTTTACCGAAAGAACCAAGAATATCATCGTCGTCGTCGTCGCGTGGAAATTCAAAGCGTGACACGGATTCTAAATGTAGAGGGGATAAACCCGGAGGACCTTGGAGATAAATCCTCGTGACTACAGGGAGAGAGAGATGCAAACTTCAAATATACAGCAGCAGCAGCAGCAGGCATCGTCAGGGGTCGGGATCGAACCCATGACCTCCTGTAGACCAGGCGAGGTAGTCAACATCTGCTAGCCACCGTGATGATGATGAGAGAGAGACGCAGACTCCAAATATACAGCAGCAGCAGGCGTTGTCAGGGTCGGGATCGAACCCACCACCACAAATCACCACTAACAACATTAACACCACCACCACCACCACCTGTACCACCATCACCACTCATAACATTAACACCACCACCACCACCACCTGCACCACCATCACCACTCACAACATTAACACCACCACCACCTGCACCACCACCATTCACAACATTAACATCACCACCACCACCTGCACCACCACTACCACTCACAACATTAACACCACCACCACCACCACCATCACCACTCACAACATTAACACCACCACGACCACCACTAACAACATTAACACCACCACCACCTGCACCACCACCATCACCACTCACAACATTAACACCACCACCACCACTAACAACATTAACACCACCATCACCACTCACAACATTAACACCACCACGACCACCACTAACAACATTAACACCACCACCACCTGCACCACCACCATCACCACTCACAACATTAACACCACCACCACCACTAACAACATTAACACCACCACCATCTGCACCATCACCACTCACAACATTAACACCACCACCACCACCACTAACAACATTAACACCACCACCACCTGCACCACCACCACTCACAACATTAACACCACCACGACCACCACCATTAACACCACCACCACCTGCACCACCACCACCACCACCACCACTCACAACATTAACACCACCACGACCACCGCCAACAACTTCAACCCCGACCACAAGCACAACAACCGCCAGCCACTCACTGTGCCGTGAGCTGCCCGATCTCCAGGTCCACGGCCGCGGTGCGGTCCCGAACGCTGTCCATCTCGCGGCGGAGGGACTCCTTGTCCCCTTGCCACGCCGCCGCCTTCACTCTGGGGACCTGCGGAGATTGTGGACGAGAAGAAAATCATGAAGGACCACCGGGCGGGTGAGAATCGGTTTTCCCATTTTTTCCATTCAACGGTTTTGCTAAATTTTGCTTTAAAGCTTTCGTGACTGCAGGGATTCATATTCTTGGTTCTTTCGGTGAAGTCACCACCACGTAGATAGGGAAGCAATAAAACAATAAAAAAATATAAAACAATAAAATTCTCACACGACGTTTCGACTGCAACACAAGCAATCATCATCAGGTGTGAAAACCACAGCAAGAAAATTCGACTCCTGCGTCGTGGTCAAATCTTGTCATCAAAAGTTTGCCTACAACCTTTGTCCAATGAATTGCAAATTTTGCACAACTACTCAGATCCGGTGACAGTGGATGCCTGTATCAAAATCGGCATCAATTAAGACGTTAATTGGCTCTTTTAAAGTAAATTAACATTTTGTATCGACGGCTTATTAATTTTTAATTTTCGAGTTAAAGCTTTCGTGACTGCAAGGATTCATCTTCTTTGGTTCTTTCGGTAAAGTCACCACGTAGAATGAGAATAAAATAATAAAATAAAACAATAAAATTCTCACGACGTTTCAGCCACAACGCAAGTGGCCTTCTTCAGGTGAAAGGGACAGACCTGTTGGGACGACAGAGCTTCAATAAAAAAAATAAAATTGTATTTGTGTTGTGGCCGAAACGTCGCGAGAATTTTACCGTTTTATTTTATTATTTTATTCTCATTCTACGTGGTGACTTTACCGAAAGAACCAAAGAAGAGGCTTATTAATTTAAAAAAAACTGTGGAATCGCGTCGCCCAACAAGCAGGCGCGGCGTGCCTCATCAGGCACCGCCTGTTCCGTGTCAACGAGTTACGGGGTACCCTCGCTCCACGCAAACAGAAGTTGTGCATTGAAGATTCATCTATAAAATAACCAATCCACTCAAGTAAGCGTTGATGTGGGAGCATCACTGGCGTACGTCTCGACCGCGAGTTTAACGGAGTTGTGAATAAAACTTTTTATTTATTTTTTACATTTTCTAAGGCGTTTATTCTTCTGGCGACCAAAAACGGGCGTTGAGATGCGCTTCGTTGACATGCTTGGTCTCTCTCCTCCTCGTCGTCAATGCTCTTGCCGTTGTTTTGTTTGTGTTGCACTATCAGAGTAATGAGCTCTCATTACTCTGATAGTGGCGTTGCCTTTGTGCTGTTCGCCTTTTGGCGTCCCCTGGTCTAGCACCGTTTTGAGGCGAGGCTCGAAAGAAAGCCGTCTCTGGTGCGGACCAATCCGTTTCAAGGACAATGCCACATAGATTATCAGAGTACGTATTGATTGTGGTTAATGCAGTAACATGATTCCTTGTCAAAGGTTTCAGTTTGGTGTTTAAACATCTTAACACAGCTGTTTTGTTGCCAGGAAAAAGGGGAAAACCGATTCTCATATTTTGGTACTGGCAAAAGAGGTCACCTGATGAACGACCAGCGGTATTAACAGTTCCCTCCGCAGAATGGCTTATCATCATCACGTGCAAATGTATAGCAGCTAAATTCTATAAAGGCATGTTTATACAGACTCACAGAGACCCATTGAGACCCACACTCATAGAGACCCACAGAGACCCATACTCAGAGACCCATAGAGACCAATACTCATAGAGACCTACAGAGACCCATACTCAGAGACACACAGAGACCCATACTCAGAGACCCACAATCATAGAGACCCAGAGACCCACAATCATAGAGACCCAGAGACCCACAATCATAGAGACCCAGAGACCCACAATCATAGAGACCCAGAGACCCACAATCATAGAGACCCAGAGACCCATACTCATCGAGACCCACAGAGACCCATACTCATCGAGACCCACAGAGACCCATACTCAGAGACCCACAGAGACCCATATTCATAGAGATCCACAGAGACCCATATTCATAGACACCCACAGAGACCCATACTCATAGAGACATATAGAGACCCATACTCATAGAGACATATAGAGACCCATACTCATAGAGACCCACAGAGACCCATACTCATAGAGACCCACAGAGACCCACACTCATAGAGACCCACACTCAGAGACCCACAGAGACCCATACTCATGGAGACCCACAGAGACCCATATTTATAGAGACCCACAGAGACCCATACTCATAGAGACCCACAGAGACCCATACTAATAGAGATCCAAATAAAAACGAAATTCTATTTTCCAGGTAAGGCCCACTGACCGATATAGTTCTTTTTCAGAAGCGACCAGGCTGTCACAAATTACAGCAGCTCAAGCAAGTGGCTCATCATCATCACGTGGACATTTATAGGAACAGCAAAATACTATAAACGTGTGACGTCGATTCTAAATGTGGAGGGCAAAAACCGGAGGACCTCCGGAGAAAAAAATCACGCTACCACGGGGAGTAGAACATGCAAAGACACACATGTCAGGGTTGGGATCGAACCCACGAGGTTCTGTATACCAGGCGAGGTAGTTAACATCTCCTAGCCACCGTGGCACCCCCTAAGCCGATAGCACCATGCTTGTGCATTGTGGTCACCCGTCAAAGCGCTGTCCAGGCTCAAAGGCCTGCTTAGCTTTTGATGGGGGTGGACGATTCAGTCAAGCAGACAAGCCTCTCGTTTCACCCACACTGTGTTTAAAAACTTCCCCACTCCAGGTCACAACATTCGCTCACTCACTCACCTCACCCACGCACACACTCACCCACTCAATCATTCACCCACTCAATCACTCACCCACTCAATCACTCACCTATCTCACACCCAAGCACACACTCATCCACTCAATCACTCGCTACTCACCCACTCACTCACTCATTCAATCGCTCGATCATCCACTGACTCACTCACCCACTTGATCACTCACTTACCCTAGCACTCACCCACCCACTCACTTCACCAATCACTCAGTCATCCTCAAATAAAGCTCAATAATTCAATCGCTCACCATTCACACACCCACTTGCTCACCAACTCACCCACCTGCCCGCTCACCCCACCGCAGGGGCCACCTCACCCCTCTCCACTCCCCTCAAACCGCTCCAGTGCGGAAGAGCTTCCTCCATCCACTACAACCACCACAACCAACCACCACCATCGCTACAACCACAGCAGCACGAATCTCGCATTCAGTCAGTCACCACAACCGCCACCATCACGGCAACCACTACCACCATCACCGCAACCACAGCACGAACCTCGCATTGAGTCAATCACCAGAACCATTACCACCACAACCGCCATCATCACCACCACAACCACCACAACCACCACCATCGCCACAACCACAGCAGCACGAATCTCGCATTCAGTCAGTCACCACAACCACCATCACCACAACCGCAATCACCACAACCGCCACCATCACGGCAACCACTACCACCATCACCGCAACCACAGCACGAACCTCGCATTGAGTTAATCACCAGAACCATTACCACCACAACCGCCATCATCACCACCACAACCACCACCACCACAACCACCACCATCGCCACAACCACAGCAGCACGAATCTCGCATTCAGTCAGTCACCACAACCACCATCACCACAACCGCCTCCATCACGGCAACCACTACCACCATCACCGCAACCACAGCACGAACCTCGCATTGAGTCAATCACCAGACCCATTACCACCACAACCGCCATCATCACCACCACAACAACCACCACCACCACAGCAGCACGAACATCGCTCAGCTCAACCAACGCCACCACAGCTCCCCAGTGCTCTACCGCTCTGGGCACAGCGCTCATAGTTGCTGGCCGCAAGGCGTTTATATAAATAAAGAAGTTTGAGACAAAGCCCGGTGCTCCACATTTACAACTCGATACAAGAGAGTAATTCTCATTGTTCGTGTTAATTGTTCGTGATAATTGTATAAACGTTGTGCTTTGTGGCGTGAAAATTAAGTAAAATACTCAACCGGAGACTTGAATTTCGCTCCCAGCAACTTGGAGAAACCTTGAGGCGTCCTGAGAAAACAAAACAGGACCAGATTCAGCATCGTCATGTACTTGTCGGGACAGTGGCGGTGGCTAAGCTGCACGCGGATGCCCGTTAGGGTTGGTGGATCACACACAGACGGGCGGTGAAAACTTCACTCCTCTATCCGAGGTGCCGTATCCCTGGCTCTGCCAGGACAGAAGGCGGTACGGAAAAGTGCGGGCTAATCTCCATCTGTTCCACACTTCCCGTGGGACATCAGGGAGTCATATCCTGTTCTGCCAGGAGGGATTGCAAAAGCATCAACTAATCTCCATCTGTTCCACACTTCCGTGGGACATCAGGGAGTCGTATTCTGTTCTGCCAGAAGGGATTGCAAAAGCATCGACTAATCTCCACCTGTTCCACACTTCCAGTGAGACATCAGGGAGTCGTACCCTGTTCTGCCAGGAGGGATTGCAAAAGCATCGACTAATCTCCATCTGTTCCACACTTCCCGTGGGACATCGGGGAATACCGTATCCTGTTCTGCCAGGAGGGATTGCAAAAGCATCGACTAATCTCCACCTGTTCCACACTTCCCATGGGACATCGGGGAATACCGTATCCTGTTCTGCCAGGAGGGATTGCAAAAGCATCGACTAATCTCCACCTGTTCCACACTTCCAATGGGATATCGGGGAATACCGTATCCTGTTCTGCCAGGAGGGATTGCAAAAGCATCGACTAATCTCCATCTGTTCCACACTTCTCGTGGGCATCGGAGAGTCATATCCTGAGCCTGCTAGGAGGGATTGCAAAAGCATCGACTAATCTCCATCTGCCCCACACTTCCCGTGGGACATCAGGGAGTCATATCCTGTTCTGCCAGGAGGGATTGCAAAAGCATCGACTAATCTCCATCTGTTCCATCCCACTCCCGTCTTCTACGACCCGTGGGTGGGCGTCGATGAAGAGCCGTACCCCCTGGCTCAGCCAGAGGGCCGTACGGCAGAGAGTGTGGACTAATCTCCATCTGTTCCATCTCACTCCGTCTTCTACTACCCGTGGGTGGGCGCTAAGTAGGAGCCGTACCCTCCCTGGCACTGCCCAGCCAGAGGGCCGTACGGCAGAGAGTGTGGACTAATCTCCATCTGTTCCAAATTATTTGCTGTGGGGGTTGAGGACGTGCCACATATCCTGACTCAGCAGATGGCAGGGCAGCAACATGTGGACTGATCCTGGCTGATGATGACGACTTGGGGGAGGCCATCCAGCTGTGGATCGATCATGGCTGATGATGACTTGGGGGAGGCCATCCAGCAGTGGATCGATCATGGCTGATGATTTGGGGGAGGCCATCTAGCTGTGGATCGATCATGGCTGATGATGACTTGGGGGAGGCCATCCAGCTGTGGATCGATCATGGCTGATGATGACTTGGGGGAGGCCATCCAGCTGTGGATCGATCATGGCTGATGATGATTTGGGGAGGCCATCCAGCTGTGGATCGATCATGGCTGCTGACGATGTGGGTGAGGCCATCCAGCAGTGGATCGATCATGGCTGCTGCTGATGACTTGGGGGAGGCCATCCAGCTGTGGATCGATCACGGCTGGTGATGGATTGGGGAGGAGGCCATCCAGCTGTGGATCGATCATGGCTGATGACGATGACGTGGGGAGGCCATCCAGCAGTGGATCGATCATGGCTGATGACGTGGAGGCCATCCAGCTGTGGATCGATCACGGCTGATGACTTGGGGAGGTGACCATCCAGCAGTGGATCGATCACGGCTGGTGATGGATTGGGGAGGTGTCCATCCAGCTGTGGATCGATCATGGCTGATGATGCTGATAGTTTCGAGACTGATGTTCTGCTGCCATCTAGCGAGATTTGAGGGACGGTAAAAAGTTTTCTGAACTCCCGACTTTAAAAAAAAAACTTCAAACAAAAAAGTGGCCCGTGGTTAAGAGGCGCGGCCGCAGTTGGCCAAGCGTGGAAGAGTAGGCCAAGGCTCCCCTTCTCTTGAAAATACATCACCACCACCAGCAGCCGTGATCGATCCACTGCTAGATGGACACCTCCCCAATCCATCACCACCAGCAGCCGTGATCGATCCACTGCTAGATGGGCACCTCCCCAATCCATCACCACCAGCCGTGATCGATCCACTGCTAGATGGACACCTCCCCAATCCATCACCACCACCAGCAGCCGTGATCGATCCACTGCTAGATAGACACCACCCAATCCACCACCACCAGCCGTGATCGATCCACTGCTGGATGAACACCTCCCCAATCCATCACCACCAGCCGTGATCGATCCACTGCTAGATGGACACCTCCCCAATCCATCACCAGTCGTGATCGATCCACTGCTAGATGGACACCCCCCCAATCTATCACCACCAGCAGCCGTGATCGATCCACTGCTAGATGGACACCTCCCCAAACAATCACCAGCAACCGTGATCGATCCACTGCTAGATGGACACCCCCCCAATCTATCACCACCAGCAGTCGTGATCGATCCACTGCTAGATGGACACCTCCCCAATCAATCACCAGCCGTGATCGATCCACTGCTAGATGGACACCTCCCCAATCCATCACCACCACCAGTCGTGATCGATCCACTGCTAGATGGACACCTCCCCAATCCATCACCACCACCAGCCGTGATCGATCCACTGCTAGATGGACACCTCCCCAATCCACCACCACCAGCCGTGATCGATCCACTGCTAGATGGACACCTCCCCAATCCATCACCACCAGCAGCCGTGATCGATCCACTGCTAGATGGACACCTCCCCAAACAATCACCAGCAACCGTGATCGATCCACTGCTAGATGGACACCTCCCCAATCCACCACCACCAGCCGTGATCGATCCACTGCTAGATGGACACCTCCCCAATCCATCACCACCACCAGCAGCCGTGATCGATCCACTGCTGGATGGACACCTCCCCAATCCATCATCACCAGCCGTGATCGATCCACTGCTCGATGGACACCCCCCCCAATCCATCACCACCAGCAGCCGTGATCGATCCACTGCTAGATGGACACCCCCCCAATCCATCACCACCACCAGCCGTGATCGATCCACTGCTAGATGGACACTTCCCCAATCCATCACCAGCCGTGTTCGATCCACTGCTAGATGGACACCCCCCCAATCTATCACCACCACCAGCAGCCGTGATCGATCCACTGCTAGATGGACACCTCCCCAATCCATCACCAGTCGTGATCGATCCACTGCTAGATGGACACCTCCCCAATCCATCACCAGCAGCCGTGATCGATCCACTGCTAGATGGACACCTCCCCAATCCATCACCACCACCAGCAGCCGTGATCGATCCACTGCTGGATGGACACCTCCCCAATCCATCACCACCACCACCAGCCGTGATCGATCCACTGCTAGATGGACACCACCCCAATCCATCACCACCAGCCATGATCGATCCACTGCTAGATGGACACCTCCCCAATCAATCACCAGCCGTGATCGATCCACTGCTAGATGGACACCTCCTCAAGTCACCATCATCACCACCACCACCAGCCGTGATCGATCCACACTGCTCGATGCAAGGCCTCCCTTGCACGTAAGACAAAGCACAAAACCGTCTAATGTTAAACCGTGAGGTAAAGTGCCGCGCGCGCGCGCGCGCGCCTCCTCAGCGGACGGCGTCTGCACACGGGAGTCGTGGATCCGTGCTGAGCGGAGTCCACGCCGCCAACAGCTTGGCTCTCCTCCTCCATCGATGAGTTAAAGTATTGTGACGGGTGATGAGCGAACGTTGTTTTACTTTTAATTGATTTTTAAAAAGAACTTTACAAATTTTTTTTTTTTACGCGTCTCACGATTCTGAGGGGGTGGAGGGGGATATGTCGAATTTTTTTGTAAAGCGGAAGTTGCGCGCGAAGGCTGACGGGATGTTTTTTTCCCGCGTTTTTTTTGTTTAGCGATGTTAATGTATGATAATTATATGCGTGACGTCAGGGGGCGGGGAAGCGTTCATTTGCATATTGCGGATTTAAACGCGTGGCAAAAGCGGCAATGGCATCGCAGTCAAGCACTTATCAGTGCCCTAGAGATCCTATTGGTCACCCCGTACCCATTATAAATCTCAACGTTCATCCTATACACTACACTATACACTACTAATACACTACTATACACTACTATACACTACACTATACACTACTAATACACTACTATACACTACACTATACACTACACTATACACTACTATACACTACTATACACTACTAATACACTACACTATACACGACTATACACTACTATACACTACTATATACTACACTATACACTACTAATACACTACTATACACTACTAATACACTACTATATACTACACTACACACTACTATACACTACACTATACACTACTATACACTACACTATACACTACACTATACACTACTAATACACTACTATACACTACTATACACTACACTATACACTACTAATACACTACTATACACTACACTATACACTACTAATACACTACTATACACTACACTATACACTACACTATACACTACTAATACACTACTATACACTACTAATACACTACACTATACACGACTATACACTACTATACACTACTATATACTACACTATACACTACTAATACACTACTATACACTACTAATACACTACTATATACTACACTACACACTACTATACACTACACTATACACTACACTATACACTACTAATACACTACTATACACTACTATACACTACACTATACACTACTAATACACTACTATACACTACACTATACACTACTAATACATTACTATACGCTACACTATACACTACACTATACACTACTAATACACTACTATACACTACTATACACTATACTATACACTACACTATACACTACAATACACTACACTACTATACACTACACTATACACTACTATACACTACACTAAACACTGCACTATACACTACTATACACTACACTATACACTACTATACACTGCTATACACTACACTAAACACTGCACTATATACTACACTTCACTACTATACACTACACTATACACTACTATACACTACAATATACACTACACTATGCACTACTATACACTACTATACACTACATTATACACGACTATACACTGCACTAAACACTGCACTATACACTGCACTGTACACTACTATTCACTGCACTGTACACTACACTATACACTACTAAACACTACACTATACACTACTATACACTACACTATACTACACTATACACTACTATATACTACTAAACACTACACTATACACTACTAAACACTACACTATACACTACTATACACTACACAACACTATACTATACACTGCTAAACACTACACTATACACTACTATACACTACACTGTACACTACACTATACACTACTAAACACTACACTATACACTACTATACACTACACTATACACTACACTATACACTGCTAAACACTACACTATACACTACTATACACTACACTGTACACTACACTATACACTACTAAACACTACACTATACACTACTAAACACTACACTATACACTACACTATACACTACTATACACTACACTATACACTACACTATACACTGCTAAACACTACACTATACACTACACACTACACTACATACTACACTATACACTACTATACACTACACTATACACTACTAAACACTACACTATACACTACACACCTGTCAACCCCTGATCAGTGCCCTTTCCTTCATGACAGACCAATCCAGACCTCACCGATGGCCCCGTGCCAGTTGTAAATCTCAACGGGCACAGCACGAACGAAACAGAGAAAAAATCTGGAACGCATCTTCTCATCTTTCGATTTAAAGCTTTCGTGACTGCAATGATTCATCTTCTTTGGTTCTTTCGGTAAAGTCACCACGTAGAATGAGAATAATAAAATAAAACAATAAAATTCTCACGACATTTCGGCCACAACACAAATAACATTTTATTTTTTATTGAAGCTCTGTCGTCCCGACAGGTTTGTTCCTTTCACCTGAAGGAGGCCACTCGCGTTGTGGCCGAAACGTCGTGAGAATTTTTATTGTTTTATTTTATTATTTTATTCTCATTCTACGTGGTGACTTTACCGAAAGAACCAAAGAAGATCTTCTCAAGTATGTGCTACTGGCAAAGGAGATCCCCATGATGAAGCTGCTCAAACCGAAGCTCTCATTACTCTGAGTGGCGTTGTCTTTTGTGCTGTGTACGTCTTTTGGCGTCCTCTGGCCTAACACCGTTTTGAGACTCGGCTCTAAAGAAAGCTGTCTATGGTGTGGACCAATAAGTTTCAAAGACAATGCATCATACATTATTATCAATAATAATAGTATTGTTTGAGACTAGGCTCTAAAGAAAGTTGTCTATGGTGTGGACCAATCAGTTTCAAAGACAATGCATCATACATTATTATCAATAATAATAATAGCATTGTTTGAGACGAAACTCTTAAGAAAGTTGTCTATGGTGTGAACCAATCAGTTACAAAGACAATGCATCATACATTATTATCAATAATAATAGTATTGTTTGAGACGAAGCTCTTAAGAAAGTTGTCTAAGGTGTGAACAAATCAGTTTCAAAGACAATGCATCATACATTAATATCAATAATAATAATAGTATTGTTTGAGACTAGGTTCTAAAGAAAGTTGTCTATGGTGTGGACCAATCAGTTTCAAAGACAATGCATCATACACTCTTATCAATAATAATAGTATTGTTTGAGACGAAGCTCTAAAGAAAGTTGTCTATGGTGTGAACAAATCAGTTTCAAAGACAATGCATCATACATTATTATCAATAATAATAATAGTATTGTTTGAGACTAGGTTCTAAAGAAAGTTGTCTATGGTGTGGACCAATCAGTTTCAAAGACAATGCATCATACATTATTATCAATAATAATAATAATAGCATTGTTTGAGACGAAACTCTTAAGAACGTTGTCTATGGTGTGAACCAATCAGTTTCAAAGACAATGCATCATACATTATTATCAATAATAATAATAGTATTGTTTGAGACTAGGCTCTAAAGAAAGCTGTCTCTGGTGTGAACAAATCAGTTTCAAAGACAATGCATCATACATTATTATCAATAATAATAGTATTGTTTGAGACTAAGCTCTAAAGAAAGCTGTCTCTGGTGTGAACAAATCAGTTTCAAAGACAGTGCATCATACATTATTATCAATAATAATAGTATTGTTTGAGACTAGGCTCTAAAGAAAGTTGTCTAAGGTGTGGACCAATCAGTTTCAAAGACAATGCATCATACATTATTATCAATAATAATAATAATAGTATTGTTTGAGACTAGGCTCTAATGAAAGTTGTCTAAGGTGTGAACAAATCAGTTTCAAAGACAATGCATCATACATTATTATCAATAATAATAGTATTGTTTGAGACTAGGCTCTAAAGAAAGTTGTCTATGGTGTGAACAAATCAGTTTCAAAGACAATGCATCATAAATTTTTATCAATAATAATAATAGTAATGTTTGAGACGAAGCTCTAAAGAAAGTTGTCTATGGTGTGGACCAATCAGTTTCAAAGACAATGCATCATACATTATTATCAATAATAATAGTATTGTTTGAGACTAGGCTCTAAAGAAAGTTGTCTATGGTGTGAACAAATCAGTTTCAAAGACAATGCATCATACATTATTATCAATAATAATAGTAATGTTTGAGACTAGGCTCTAAAGAAAGTTGTCTATGGTGTGAACAAATCAGTTTCAAAGACAATGCATCATACATTATTATCAATAATAATAATAGTATTGTTTGAGACTAGGCTCTAAAGAAAGCTGTCTATGGTGTGAACAAATCAGTTTCAAAGACAATGCATCATGCATTATTATCAATAATAACAATAATAGTATTGTTTGAGACTAGGCTCTAAAGAAAGCTGTCTATGGTGTGAACAAATCAGTTTCAAAGACAATGCATCATACATTATCAATAATAATAATAGTATTGTTTGAGACTAGGCTCTAAAGAAAGTTGTCTATGGTGTGGACCAATCAGTTTCAAAGACAATGCATCATACATTATTATCAATAATAATAATAGTATTGTTTGAGACTAGGCTCTAAAGAAAGTAGTCTATGGTGTGAACAAATCAGTTTCAAAGACAATGCATCATAAATTATTAATAATAACAGCAATGTTTGAGACAAAGCTCTTAATAAAGTTGTCTATAGTGTGGACCAATCAGTTTCAAAGACAATGCATCATACATTATCAATAATAATAATAGTATTGTTTGAGACTAGGCTCTAAAGAAAGTTGTCTATGGTGTGAACCAATCAGTTTCAAAGACAATGCATCATACATTATTATCAATAATAATAATAGTATTGTTTGATTTAAAGCTCTGATTGTGGTTAATGCAGTAACATGATTCCTTGTCAAAGGTTTCATCTTAGCACAGCTGTTTTATTGCCAGAAAAAAGGGGAAACCCCATTCTCAAAATATACAGGCCAAGCAGGTGCCATGGGTTGTAGTGTCGTGCCAGGCTAGGTGCAGGAGGAGGTCACGGGACAGACCCTGCAGGTGCCACGGGTTGACTGACTGAGATGACTGGCAGATGTACCACCTGTGCCACTCCCCCCTACTCTGCCTACTCGCTTGGCACAGCAGTAGGCACAGGTGGTTTTATCCGCCCGGCGCTCCGCTCGTTGTTGTGAGCGTCACTCCTCTGCCCTCTATTGTTGTTGGACGGCGTCTGCCTCCAACTGCCCGGTAGAAACACAGCGTCCTTGCTTTCACTCTTCCATAATAAACTATTCACCCACCCATTGACTGCCACGCTCATTCACTCACTCACACTCATTCACTCACTCTCACACTATCCCAATTAACTCATACGTACATACACCCATTCACCCACTCCCACTCATTATTTTACGCTCACCCAGTCGCTCAATTACT